ATGATCATTTATAAATCATCAAGAATTAAGGCACAACAACTACTGTTGAGATTAACCATGTTCTAGAAATGGACATTTTTGAGAAATGAGGCAAGAATTGTGGAAATGTGGATTTTTTGAGACAAGGTCTCACTGTGTTGGATTCCTGCCTCCACCTCCCAAGATCGGGGCTTACAACTGTGCATAGCGTCATGCTTGTTGAAAGGATCAATGAAAGGATCCACCATATCCATCCCAGGGGACCATGAGGATGCAGGCAGGCACAGGAGAAAGATTACTACAAGGTTTATTAGAGGAGCCATATTTCCCCTGGAGAGAGAGCACATGGCAGCCTCTGCTATCTAGGTAGCAGCAGGGTCTCTGGGATAGGAAGTGAGGTAGATGGGAGTTCAGGTGGGTCTGGGCAGAGAGAGGGAGGGGCCAGCAGGTCTGGGTGGAGCTGAAGACCAAAGGTGGGCATAATGCTTACATTCCCCTCTCCCTTGTTTAATAAAAAATAGGGGGTACCAGGCCAGGGGGTTTGGGCAGGGGTCATTTCTTCTGGATCTACTTCCTGCTGTCTAGGGGTGAAGTTGTCAGGTGTCCTTGTTTCAATGCTTGGCCAGGTACCGTCCAAGAAGCATCTGTTTGACAGTGGTTGGTAAAGGTCCTCATTTTTCCATGACAATAGTTATCTAAAATGCAAGACAATTAATAAAAGACCAAATTGTTGTTAAGGCAAAAATTGCTGTTAGGAGCCCAAGAGAGGACTATGCTATGGAAGGACTGAGTTCCAGAAGGGGCTGTCAAAGACCTGAAATTGCCTTTTCTGTCTCAGATTGGAGACCTGGCTTGGTACCTGACTCCTGGAGGAGGGGAAGTAAGATTTTCCTGCTTTAGGTTCACAGCAACCTGAGGAGGAGGGAGCAGAAATATTTAAAGGTACCAAGCCAACGGGTGTCATGGCTCTTCTGGCTACTTCCTGCTGGCTTGGGGGCATCAAGGAATCCCTGGAACATAGGTCTTTAGGGTCCGGGTCTGCACTGGGCATGGCAGGGAAGTGTAAGCGATGTCTCTGGTTGCCTGAAGGTATCCTGGGCAGGGTATGTTATCCTGGCCAGGGTATGTTATCCTGGGCAGGAGATGTTATCCTGTTGAAAGAGACTTTTGCAAAGATCAGGGAAAAAGCTGACATGGTGACAAAGTCAGTTAATATGAATGACATAAGAGAACACACATTAGCCACGGGCCAGAAAAGTTCCAATTGGAGTATAAGCCCAATTGAAGCCATTTACTAACTGTACTTGGGGCAAGGAAGGCAGGAAGGGGTGTCTACGGTCTTTGGGGCAACTGAGTAGGGGAGGGCATAATGGACTGGTTGGGAGTACCAGTCAGAGGCTATTATAAACACAAATAACAGGTGACAAAAGTAACTTTCTGTCCAGTTACAAAGTAGTCATATATAGACATTAGGTGGGTAAGCAACTATTCCTCTTGATCTCCAGGCTCTGATTAATTTTGATTGGGTGAGGGTAAAGTGACTCCATTTAGGATGTCATCACCTCTTACTCCTCTCCATGGTTTTCCATTGTCCGGACTGACTTTGTCCTGGGGGTGACTCAGTGTCCATTGCTGGGATCCTTTGTCCCAGTTGGCATTTACCAGATTTAGACTCAAGGCCTGGGCACTGTCCCTGAGCACTTCTGCTCACGGCAAGTGCTCTACCACTTAGAGTCACAATGCCACATTTAGCTTTCCGCTGGATACTTAGAGGTGAGTCTAGAGCCACACCTCCAGCCTGGCTGTGTGCTGATCAGCTGGGAGATGGAGATATAGAGGGATTCTTTGGGCCCAGTATGGCTTTGAACAGTGGCAAAAGGAGTCTTTGTTACAAAAGCCAATTAAAGCAACAAGAAGATCAATGAGATAGAGGTTACCTATAACTTGTTAACAGTTGACTAACAATTACTTGCCAGAGTTTTTTTTTTTAATAAAACCCAGTAGCTGTTTTTTAAACTGGGACTGATTGGCACTCTAAGTACCGCCCATTGCCTCTTTGCAGCCTGTTTAAAGTGATTTATATTTTGGGCTACAGGAGGGTGTAAGGTCCGCTCCTGGATGGTGAGCGGACTCTACCCTCCACCCAGCAAAGTCTCTACCCAGTACCTGCATTACCTAGGTAACTGGGACACCTGGAAGAGGTCACATCTGCATCCGCTGAGGTCACATCTGAATTTGATGTGGCCACACCTTTCTCCGCCCTACCCTACATAAGGCCTAGCCCAGGCCCAGACGCCCTCTCTCTGCTCTTTTCTATCTCTTTCTCAGCTCTTACCTTCTCTTTTTCCCAGCTCTCGTCTCTTTCCTAACTCTCTCTTTCCTACCTTTCCCATATGCTCTCTTTTCTAGCTCTTTTCTCTTTTCTAGCTCTTTTCTCAGCTCTTTCCTTCTCTTCTCTTTCCCAGCTCTCTCTCTTTCCCAGCTTTCCCATCTCTCTTTCCCAGGCCTTTCCCCACTGCCAGCCAGAATGATGAATAAACCTACCCCTTACCCGAATACCACGTGCGTGGTGCTGTTCTTACTCGGCTACCTCTTTTTAAAAACCTAACAGAGGGTAGCCTGTTTAACTCTCTGGTTTATAAAAGCGTTTTTTTTTTTTTTCTGGCTGGCTGGGGAACCTGATTTAGGCAGATCTCAATAGAGACACAATCTCAGGCAGCTGAGGCACCATGTGCTCTCTCTCGGGGAGAAACATGGCTCCTCTAATAAACCTTCTAATAATCTTTCTCCTGTGCCTGCCTGCCTCTGCATGGTCCCCTGGCATGGATGTGACAGATCCTTTCATTGATCCTTTCATTTGTCATAGATGAAGTTTGATTTATGACAAAAACAAAGGCTAATTAGGGAAATAAGCTGTCCCAAACTGGAGGTTTTTAGGGAAGCAAGAGACTAATGGTTTAAAGGAAGCAATGAAAAGTAAAGAGGTCACTTACCTAACATTTAGGCTCTGCAATTATGTGGCAGTAAGGAAAAAATTATATATATATATATATATATATATATATATATATATTGTTTTTAGGTAATCTTCAGAGGATGGAATCCTCAGGGAAAAACTTAATTTCTGGTGAAGCAAGACAATGAAGGGTAGTTTCAGAGAATTTGAGAATATAGAGGAATTACCAGAGGGGGCGCTGTATTTTCTTTTTTTTCTTTCTTTTTTTTTTTTT